TTTCTCTTGATCATTAATAATCACATTCTGCAAAACCATGGCGTAAAGCACGCGCTTTCTGTAAATTGCTCAGTAATCTTGACAAAATCTCCTACAATTTGTCCGGTTGTGTGTACCGTTGCAGCGCTTCCACGTTACAACGCGGCATCCGCAAAAGGCGAGAGCGATAAATTTTCTGTAATATCATTGGACCGGTTTTGTGGATAGTAACAATGAGCACATACCTCAGTCTGGAACGTTGTTTGTGTAAAAAAATCTCTTTCTCTCTTCTGGATAATGTCTTTTATGGAGCGGAGGTCATCTCGCGATGATTACCTTGTATGTTCGATCGAGGCGACTTTTTTTCAACCAAAACTGTTATATTCAAATTACAATTATATATGAACGTATATAATACAGTATTCATTTAATATTGACACGATTGCGTGCCAATTTTGTTTTAAAAAAATATATGCTATCATTTTGCAAATTAACACATTATGAATTCTTTGATAATTTATATTGAAATAATGCTAGTGTTTTTTATAACAGGCATACGAAAAAGAATTTAGAATTTTTTAATATTTTTTATCATTTAAATAATATATAAAATTCAATTATGTGAAATGTTCGGAAAAGAAAGAAGTTTTATATAAATTATGAAATATAATTCTGCGCATATAAAATTATGGTGAAAATCATAATTACAAAGAAAGCTTTATAATCAATATTTTAAGGTAAATTAAAATTAAAAGATTACTGTAAATTACAAAAAATTGAAAAAAATTACCGATCAAAGAAGGAAAATATTCAATTGAAAGGAAAGATCTGAGATGAGTTCATAAAGGAACCGTCAATAGAGATTGATGATTTATAATGAACCACCATGCAAACAAGACAGGCGTAGAACATAAATTTTGCGAACAGTATACCGATCGTCTGGAAGCTTAACGTTATCCCACTTGACCGTGACCTTGGGTTACAATAACCGCGGGCAAGGGTTACGTGTCGCGCACGTGGAAAACGGTTATGCGAAATCATAAATTTCTCTTCGCTCTCTGTTAGAGAGATGCATTTAAATGCTTACCCCCCGCCGGAAAGTCACTTGTACATGACATGCGGGCGTCCCTCGTTTTGAGAACAATTTTTCAAGCGACACTGCGCTTCAGACAGTAAATCGGTATTTAAGCATCGAGTTTACATCCCTGTCTCTTTTCGTGACTCACATCGGATATAATAGTGTAAAATACATCGTAAATTTATCGTATAATAGTGATTTCGTAACTTGTTACATGCGAACGCATCACGCCACGTATTAAAAAAAAAATAATCTCGATAACTTTGTTTCAAAATCAGAAATATAATAAGATATGCACGCAACTTCACATATCTATTGAAAAAAATAACATATTATAATATAAAATATTATATCCACGAAATCAAATAGATCCGTGATAATAAAATCTTTATTATTAATTTTAAAACTACATAGAAGAGCTTATCCATCAATCATTTACGAAATAAATTGTTCACAACAATTAAAAAGAAAGAGATGATAAAAGAAAGAGAATGGTAAAAAAAACAGCGGAGTATTTATTATAGTTTATCAAATTTATTGGACTCGGAAATCACCTTTCGTTAATGCTATGAACAATGTGTCTACATTTTACATTGATTTTTACCATCTATGTAATTAATTAAGCGAAAAACGCTACTGATGCTACCGATGCCAATTTTCGTCGCTTCCGGTCTCAGTTAATACGCGCGTTACAAGTAGCATTGATTTTGAAACCGCTGATTATCCAATTACCTTGGGTCTTTGGAACGTGGGCGTGCTAATTAAGGGCGACTACCTGGTTGGTGTTGTGAATTAAGAAACGGCTCGGATATCTCGTAGTGTCATCAGTACAGTTTCGTTCATGCCTGTTACTTGCTACTTGCTACTTGTTCTCCCGGTGCATCTTAATTAATGGAATACGTAAAAGGCGAGATTTAAGATTGTTTCAACATTGTTAATCCTTAATGTTGTATGTCTTAATGTTAGCAATTACCAAAGGGGTTTGCGGAAAAACATGTTAAATCTGTGAAATACGATATGTCAGTGGGGGAATGTTGGGTTTAGTGTAATACTTGTTTTGTGACATAAAATAATTTTTACAAAAGTTACGTGCTATTTTTCTTATTTGACTTCCATAAAGATTCCAGAATGCAATGCAAATTGATTTCGGAAAATGTATTTATGTCGGAACGAGATCTCAGATAAAAGGCACTTGATACGTTGAAAATTACTTGTGTGCTTTACACGATGTCGTATTATAGTGGCACAAATTTACACACTTTGCGCTAGGATTACATATATAACCATGATATTAGAAGATACGGCTGACACCTTTCGTCCACAGAAACCTTTCTTAACTGGTTGCTATTGGCCTCGACCGTGCGATTTTTTTGTGAACACCAATATGTGGTTAACTTTTGTAGATAAATTATTGCATCTTAAATTTTTATTTTTAGATACATTCGCTTACACGACATCACCACACAATGTAAACTCGTATGGGATGGAAGTCTGATGTAAAAAATATAATAATCGTATAATCAAAATATTACACGAAAACAAAAACTACCAGCTTAAAGAATTTTACATAAAAGAGCACAAAATAGCTCTAACATACTTTTAATTTTTTCAATATTGTAGTTTTGTAATTTTTCTTCATTATATTGTATAATTTTTTAATAAAATAGGCTTTACTTCAAAGCATTTCAAAAGCATCGAAGTTAAATTTATTTACTTAAATTATTTCGCCTGCAAATGGCTTTCTTAATTAAATCATATTTTTTAAACAATTTTTACATTATATTATTTCATGTCTTATGTCTTTCATATTTAACAAATTGACACATTCACATTCACATTTAAATTGCTATAAATTTAATGAACTAATGATCTATATTTTACGATCGTGACCATTTATGCTCCAAATTATATTTTACGTATTCGTAAATCCTGCTTTATCCTGCTTTATCGCGCACGATTTTTCAAAGCAACTATTGAGAAAAACCACATCTTACGTTCCAGATACATCGCTGTTCAAAATGTTACGCAGGAGACATTCGGACAAACCAGTTACCAAGAACCGGATCACTTTGCGATCGGCAGTTCCGTAATTGTCATACGATCGCCAGCGTTAATTAATTGAAATGTGCGTTACCAAACTACGGCGGCTCGTTAATAATTAATACACTTAGGCGAAATAATTTCTCGCTTTAAATTCACCGTGTGCAATCACATAATTTATGGTAGGATCTTTATTTCAGTAAAAAAAAAGGACATGAAGAGTCAAAATAGATGAGAAGACAGATGATTAATTAGAGAAGTTCAATGAATGACGCGCATATAATTTCTTATAGATCAAGTAAATACAAATTATTAATTAAATCTTAATTAAATACGCAAAGAAGCTTTGCGTATTATTGCGAAGTTAACTCATCTGGAGAAGGAGAGAAAATCCGATATTAAGAAATATATATTCTAATTTATTTCAGAGAAATAAAAGTCAAGTATGCAAGTGTGTTATCTTTCTCGTTCAAAAGAGCAAGTACCTCATTTAGAGGTAATCAAAGTGACTAATATTCATCGATTGTAAGTGGATATTATTAATATTAACAGATTATGTTAATGCTGCTATCTCTTTAGAATTAACTTTGAAAGACACAACGAGTAATTAGCGACACTAGTATTACTTATATATTAATCGTGATACATGTATATATTTATTTTATGAATAAAATCCTTATTTCATAAATTCCTTTGATATCTTGACAGAAAACTGTAAAATAGTTAATATAAAAATACGCAAGATAAATATACCCATATATAAATTACGTACAGTTAAATGTACCATGTATATTTGTAATATCAGCTTTATCTCTCCTCTTATTCATAAATTATCTAATATGACTCACAAATTGTTTAATTATAAATAATTTATTTATTCAGTGAAATCAATTTAATTCAGATTTGTAGACATCCGATTACATCAATTGAGTTCATTTGACGTTGCTAGAATTTATGTAAATATCAAGTATATATTCCCTCTTTCCTCTTCTCTCTGTCTCTCTCTCTCTC